ATCATGAGGCAGCAGCAGGAGGAGCTGTGTCTGAGCAAACAGTACAGGATGATCGTTCACAATGGTTACTTGATAAAAACTCAGAGATACATTTTGTAGCCATATCATGGATGCAGCGTTCCAGTTGAAAACGTCTGGTCAGCTCTCATGCCATCGTCAACTGTATTTATCTTAGAAGCTTAGTTGGCCCTCGCTCTCCTCACTCATCTTCCCTCAGTCAACATACAACCTTCAGGATACATGAGACTAGAACTGTAGAGGGGTGAATCTGTTTGCAGTCAAATGCATATCTCTATTGAATGGAGGTTTGTTGGGGATTTTTTTTTTTTGAATGATGTGAAGCTTTGGATTCCAGACTTTGATTTATTAAATGGAGCCACACAATTCCTAAAAAAAAAACCGTGAATAGTCTACTATTAAAGGACTATATATATAACGTGGTAACAGTTATTTAAGTTAGATTTTTATCATTTCTTAGTTAAGCTTATTAGTATTTCCTTAATCATAACAAAATAACCCTTAGTGTGGACATTATAATAAACTAATATACTGATGGAATTATATGTCAAAACTTTCAAATTTCATTGATCTCCCGGTACCATTAATTGCTGTAAGCCAGAAACAAAAGGTAAATAACTAGTCTATAAAACAGAAGTTAAGTAGGAGGCATCTCACACTCTGTGATCTCAAGACTTTCTGCCAAGCTGTAATAATCAAAGTAGCATGGTATAGACCAATGAAATAGAATCAAGAACCTAGAAATCAGCCCATATGGTATTTGAAAAGAAATTAAAACCTGACAGATGAGGAAATGACAACCTCGTCAACGAATGGTGCTGGCAAAACTGGACTTCTACCTGCAGAAAACTGACAACAGAAAACTGAAATAAGACCCACATCTCACACCATACACAAAACCAGCTCAAGGTATATCAGAGACCTCAGGGTAAGATCCAAAATCATAAAGATCATAAGAGACAAAATGGGACCAAGTTTAGAAGTACCTGGTCAGCCGATATCATAAATATGCAAATACAGCCAGAAATGCACAACCAGGAGAGGATAAAATCGATGAATAAAATCCCCTAAAAATTAATTCCCTGTACACATTAAAAACTTTTTCCCATAGGATGAAAAGGAAACCTACAGATTAGCAAAAAACATTTGGCAGTGGCATCTTAAACAAGGGCCACATAATTAAAGGTTACAAAACACTACAGGACATCCACAAGAAAAATATTGTAACCCAATGACAAAACAGACGAAAGAGATGAAAAGACTCTTCACAAAGGAAGTCATTCAGAAGGCCAACACACACATGAAGAAATGTTCAAAATCATTGCCAACCAGAGAAATGCAAATCAAAACCACAATGAGATACTATCTCACCACAGCAGTAGTAGCAAAGTTCTACAGGACAGGAAGCAGTAAATGTAGGAGAGAATGCAGAGAGATTGGAATTCTCATGCACTGCTAGTGGGATTGTAAAATGGTACCACTCTGGAAGGCAGTTTGGAGACTCCTCAAAAAGCTGAACATGCAAATCCCAAATGATCCAGCTATTCCACATCTAAGAATATACCCAAAGGAAATGAAAACTCAGACATGAATGGAGATATGTACACCTATGTTCATAGTAGTGTTATTTACAGTAGCAGGAAAATTGAAACAGCCGAAACACCTATCAATAAATGAATAGATTGAGAAACTGATACAATGAGAAATTGTTCATACAATGAAGATATATAACTAGAAAAAATCATGACTGAGTTATGGAAAACTGAAATTAAGATGGTTAAAAAGAGAAGATGTTGCTTTTTTTAGATCTAGCCTTAAAGAGTACATCAGTGGCACATTAATGGGTGAAATCGGAATTATTAGTTTGTTGTTGTTGTTATTGTTAAGTACTTTTGATTCAGAACCAACCCATAGGTCACCCTCCACTGGGTTTTCATAGGTGGTTCATTGCACAGAAGGAGATTTCCCAGCCTTCTCCCAAATTATGATAATTTATAAATTCATCTGTTCAGCTTGTTTAGAAACAATCAGACTTCAAAGAAATAATCCAGACCAACTGAATGAATCAGATTTATCTTCCAAAAAATATCCATTTATTGGTGGTGTTATTATTGTTGGTGTTGTTATTGTGTACCATCTAGTTGAAACAACTCATAACTGACACTCTGTGGGTTTTCAGTAAATTACATGGAAGAAGTTGCCCATCTTTCTTCCACGAAGCAGCTGGTGGATTCAAACTGTGTGATTTTGGGTTTGGCAGCACACTTCCTTACCACTAAGCCAGCACTAACAAGCTGTGCCACTAACTCAAAGGCTGCACTTCTCTATTGGTTCTAATCTGTCAGAGGCTTCATGTGAGAACTATGATCAGTCTCTTCCTAGCGTGCGCTCTAGGGTCTTGGAAACCTAATGGAGGGCCATTAAAAGTTGGAACTGACTCGACAGCAGTGAGTGAGTTTTATTTTAAAAGAAATTATGTCCCTATTCCTTGGAACCAGTTCCAATGAAGGGCACACAGTGTTCCCTTCTTGGTAAACCGTTCTACTCAGAAAAGCACACTCCATGTCAGCAGTGCTGATGTGCAGCAGGGGAGTTAGTTTCATTAAGGCTCAAATTTCATTTGGTCCCACTAGTATCTTAGATTACTATGCCTTGTTCACCAAGTTATTTAGTATTTCTAATATCACCTCTGGTTTTCTACCAGCTTCTCCACTTGGGAAATATTAAGGTCTCTAGAACCTGTTGTTCAGTGGCACTGAGTCGTAGATGATTCATACCGACCCTATGAACAAAAGACCTGAACACTTGTATAATTTTCATCATTTCTCCAAGTTCATAGCAAGCTCTTTTGGAAGTGGATGCCACTCCTGCTTCCAAGCTTGTTTTAATCGGGAAGCTGCACAAAACACTGTCCACCATGGGTAACCATTATCACATTTGACACATCAGTGTCACATTGTTCAGCTTTACAGTGACCACAAGTTACCTCTGTATAGCAAGTGGACAGACCAGTGCTATACCACTTAGAAGAATGTTTGACCAAAAACAGTTAAAACCAGGCCTGAGGGTCATAGATTAAAATCACCCACCTTTGGCTTGATAGCATAACTTACTATCCACTACGCCAACAGAGCTCTCTCTATGACTCACAGAATTCTATGAACAACAGATCTAACCCTTGCCTATCCTATACCATCCCCAGAATCTGAGACATACTCAAGCCCATTGCTACAGTCACTGTATCAGTCTGTATTGCTGAAGATCTTCTTTTCTTCTCTGACTTCCACTTTTCTCAGCATGATGCCACTGGAACCTTAATCTGTTGTTTGTTGTTGTTAAGTGTGGTCCAGTCGGGTTGAGTTGCAGACAACTCATAGTGACCCTATGAATGAAAGACCTGAACACTTGTATAGTTTTCATCATTTCTCTAAAATCTAAAACCTGTAGTATTCATTAATATAGTGTTACCCTCAGTACTTCAACATTTTTAATCATTTAAACATCAAGATAGATAATTATAATTCCTTAAATTAAAATTTCCCTCACTTGGTTTTGGGACCTCTCCGAAGTACTGAAGAGCAATGGTGTCTCTCTGGAGACTAAGGTGCGTATAATACAGGCCATGGTCTTTGCTATCACTTGATCATCAGAGAGTTGGACAATCATCAGAAAGTTAGACAATGAATGACCAAGGAGGATAGAAGGAGAATTGATGCCTTTGAGCTGTGGTGCTGGAGAAGAGTATTGAGAATACCATGGACTGCTAGGAAAACAAACAGATTCATCCAGGAAACGGTTAAACCGGGTGGCTCCTTGGTGGCAAGGATTCTGAGGCTCCCTCTAACATACTTTGGACATGTTGTAAGGAGAGGCCGGTCCTTGGAGATGGACATCATGCTTGGTAGGGTGGAGGGACAGCGCAGGAGGGGAAGGCCCTCTATGAGGTGTATTGATTCAGTGACTGGGGTAATCAGGATGGGAGTGTCAGAGACAGTGCAATTGGCACAGGACAGAGCAGAGTTTAGGGCTGTTGTACATAGGATTGCTATGAGTTGCAAGTGACTCGACGGCACATAACAACAACAACACTTGGTTTTATGTTTTAAGTGACATGGCTACATTTGAAGTAGTGGCTTACATGTCAGGCTGCTAACCGAAAGGTAAGCAGTTCAAACCCAGTAGCTGCTCTGCAGTATAAAGATGGGCTATCTCCTTCCACAAAGATAGCCTCGGAAAACAATGGAGGATTGCTGTGAGTCCAAATCAACCCAAAGGCAGTGGGTTTGGGCTGTTTGTATTGAGTTTCTTTCTTTTTTACTAAAGAGAACATTCTCTTTTTATTAACACAGGTATGAAACTTGTATGTTTCCACAGATAAACAGCACAACTATCTTCTTTCATGTTAATTTCTAATGTGTAGTATTTTCTGACCTTGTCTGTAAAATTTAGACTGTATCTACTTTAAAACTGGGAGATCCTTGGTTCCTTTACTCTAAAAATAAATAATGATAAATAGTGTCAGTCCAGGAACCTTTAAAGGAAGAGTGGTATTGGTATCATGAGTTTCCTTGCTCCTGCCTAGACCTGGAGAATGAGAACTCCTCAGAGGATACTTCTACCATCGCTATCCACCATCCAGGCCAGCCCAACCCACAGGGACCCATATTTGTCAGAACGGAGCTGGGCTCTGTCATTATCAATAGTTTATTTTTTTTTTGGCAGGTCTGGGAAGTGAGGCAATTACCAGGACTTTCTTACAAGGTACTGCTGAGTAGGTGTGAACTGCTAACCTTTCCATTAACCACTGAGCCTTCAAAACATTTGCCCCAAACAGGGATTCCTAGAGGATGTGTGGTTAAGGTTGCTATTATTAATGCAATACATAGATTAGGTTTTTCTTTCAAACGATCTTACTTTAGTAATGTAAGAAGATTCACGTTTTATTTCTTCTCCTCCTCTTTATCTACCACCCTCTCCCCTAGGCAAAGACTGCCAAGCAGAAGCACAACGGAACTATGGGCCTGCTAACATACCCAGTACTTCAGGCGGCTGACGTTCTGCTGTACAAGTAAGGGGCAGGGCTTACTCACAGCCTCCTAGTACTCATGAGGAGGAGAGATGGTTGTAACCCATCAAAAAAATTGCTTTCCAAGGATGCTGGGGCTGTAGGCATAGATAAGTACATTAGTTTGTGTCTGTTCCCCAGCAATAGTGGCGGATAAAGAGTTGCTCTACCAGCCCAAAAGGCAAGCAGGTCAGATCCATCAGCTGCTTTATAGGATAAAGATAGGCAGTCTCCTCCTATGCAGATTTTAATCTATAAAAACCCACTGGAGGGTCAACTGTAGCACAACAACAAACAATAACATTTGCCATCAGAATATGGTTATGTTTCAGTGAGAAAGTGCAGTGTTGGTCACTAACAATTAAAAGCCCTTAACTATATGTTGGACTTCTAACCTTGCTGTCATCTGCCACTGAGTCATTCTGACTCTTTTTTTTTTTAATCATTCTGACTCTTAACAGCTGTAGGACAGAGTAGAACTGCCCCACAGTATTTCCTGAGCTATAGTCTTATGGGAACAGGCTACCAAGCCATCTTTCCTCCAAAGCCACTGGTGAATTCAAACCTTTGACCTTTCGATTAATAGCGAGCATGTCACTGTTGCTCTACCAGGGCAAACTAAACTCTTTTTAAAAAAAAAAAAACCAACAACTCTTGATTATCTGTGTGTCCTTTTGGCATTACTACCTACAGGTGATAGTTTTCTCTTCCTGGGTAATTAAAGCCTAATAATCCATTTCCCAGAAAAGTAGTATACATACTTAGAAAACAATCTATTTTTAAAAAACCTTTTATTTTCTCATCTGTAAAGTAAAACTCAAAACTTCAACTCATGACCATTGAGTCAGAACTGACTCAGGGGTTCTGGAGGCTATAAAGCACATAGGAGGAGATTGCCCATCTTTCTCCTGTGGAGCAGCTAGTAGATTTGAATCACTAGAGAAGTGTGGCCTTTGGCTTAGCAGGGCAACTCCTTATGGACTGTTGTTAGGTGCCATCAAGTCAAGTATGACTTATAGCAAGCCTGTGAATAATGGCTCTGAACCCTGTCCTGTCTTGTGCCATCCTCATTATCACTGATATTCTTGAGCCCAGTGCTGCAGTCACTGTGTCAATCCACTTGGCTTAGGGTCTTCCTCTCTTTTGCCAGTCCCTCTTAACAACATTCCCTAAGTATGTGAGAGGAAGCTTCATTATCCTTGCACTCTGGCTGCACTTTCTGGAAGACATATCTGTTTGTTCTTTTCATAGTCCATGGACTATTCGGTTGTTTTCTCCAACACCACAACTCAAAGACGTCTGTTCTTCTTATGTCATTCTTATTCGTTGTCCAACTCTCACCTTATAGCAAGTGATTGAAAAGACCATGGCCTGATTCAGGACTTATTTATTGTTGACTTGGAATCAACCCATCGTTGACCCTCCAGTGGATTTTCAGAGGCAATATATCTCACAGGAGGAAACTGCCCATCTTTCTCCTATGGTGCATTTGATGGATTCAAACCTGCATGCCTTCAGGTTAGCAGCACAAGTCCTTACCGATAGGCTCCTCTATGCTAAGAAGCACAATTATAATTTGAAACAATCCAGAACAATGTAAGATCAAGTATATCAAAGTAATGACAGTTATATTTTTATCCATTGCAAAAATTCTATGGTATAAGTAAGTAGTAGATACAATTGGTAGAATGATTGAATACTAGAGTTTATTTCCTCTATTCAATGAGTTAAGAGGCTATAACTCAGAAAGTTATAAATAATTTATGTATGAAGTTATACAATGTGTAATCTCAGTTCAAAATTTTAAATGTTTAACAAGAATATGTGGGGGGGGAGAGGAAAGGCTAGTATCTGCCAAAAAAGGAAAAAAGAACTTCTTAAGATTCCTAAGTCTATATTATATTCTGCTTTGGTTATAGGATAGACTGAGACTGTACTTCAACATCCCTTTTATTATACAAACCAATAATTACTATGGCTGGATGTTTAGTTCATCCGTAGACAGATAAACTTTAAGAGCTTTCCAGAAGTTTTTTGCCTGTCTGAGTCTCCATCCTGACATTAGCCAGGTTCTCACATAAAGATGTTTAATCCAAGCATAAATAGTCCAGTCCCAATAGCAAAGAAAACCCCCAGTTGTGAGCATCCCTTCTTTAACTTACCTCACCTAATTAACATTCCTGTCATTTGTGGATAATCTTCAGCAGAATCTTGCTTGCATGTGAAATCAATGCTATTGTTCTATAGTTTCCACACTCTGTTGGGTCATCCTTCTTTGAGATGGGAACAAATAAAGATCTCTTCCAGTCAGTTGGCCAAGTGGTTGTTCTCCAGATTTCTTGGCACAACTTGGTGAGCACATCCAGGGCAGCATCTGTTAGCTGAAATATGTCAATTGGTATACCATCTATTCGTGGGGCCTTATTTTTTGCTATTTCCTTCAAAGCAGCTTGAACTTCTTCCTTCATCACCATAGGCTCTTGCTCATATGTTGTTTCATTAAATTATTCTGTGTCTGCCAATTCCTTTTGATACAGTGACTCTATATTCTTTCCATCTTTTAATACTTCCTGGATCATTTAATATTCTGTCTAAAGCATCCTTGATTATAGCAACTCGAGGTTTGAATTTGTTGTTCAGTTCCTTGAGCTTAAGAAATGCTGAGCGAGTTTGGCCCTTTTGATTTTCTGACTCCAACTCCTTGCACATTTCATTGTAATATTTTACTTTGTCATCCCGTGCTGCCTTTTGAAATCTTCTATTCAACTCTTTAGTATCTTGAATTCTTCCCTCTGCTTTGGCTTCTCTGCACTCCAGTGCAATTATCAAAGTCTCTTCTGACATCCATTTTGGTCTTCTCTTCCTCTTCTGTCTTTGCAATGACTGTTTGCACTCTTCTTGGATGATACCCTTGATATCCTCCCACAACTCATCTGGTCTTTGCTCATTAGTGTTCAAGGCCTCAAACATGTTCCTGAGATGGTATCAGCCACTCTGAGACACAATAATGGCCAGTCTCCTACTGATAAAGATTGACAAAACCTGATGCAGGGTCACCCTGAATCAGAAGCAACTTGGTGGCCATGGCTTTGGGTTTTTGGTCTTAGGATATATGATACTTTCTTTTCCCTGTTTCCTAAAGAGAATAGTCACTGGTTTTTATCAGTACTTACCAGGATTTTTATTAATGTATATCTAAACTGTTAAAAACAAATAGATAGGTTTTATTTTTATTTCTTTTCCCCTGAAAACTATGTAATTATTTTTAAGATGACTTTTCCGAAACTAACCACCAGTAATGTTAAAGACATCAAAATCAAAGACAGGATCCAGCATCTCCATCCTTCTGTCCTTAAGATCAGCCTTGTATTTCCTTTCATTGGTCTCTATTGGATCTGCTGCCATGAACTAACCCCTCACGCTCCAGCTCACGGACACCATCTCTTTGACCTTTTTTCTCCCCCATCTTCTTTCAGACTGTTCCCACTTATGCTATTTCTGAGCCATATTCTTCTTGGGTATGTTTGTGGTTTTGGCCCCTTAAAAGTGTAGAGTCAAGTACAACAAAAATCAGCTTGGTTTGGTGCAGCATTTACTAACTTACTGCTACTAACTCACTGTCTTATCTGTCTCATTACATTTCCTTCCAAGTTTAGAAACTCCCAAACTGATTAATAAAGGTAAGTAACCAAGCAGGACTAGAGCTGAGTTTTGCTGTCATCCTTTCTTTTTGCTTTTTTGTTTTTAGAGCTGAGTTTTTAATTCCATGCTATACAATTGCTTTTTCTATATCAGAGTTCATGAACATGGGTAATTTTTGTTTTGTTTGTTTCATATATTTCTAGACTTTGAAAAAGGTCCTAGCCAGAATACTTACATTATATATACAGAAATAAAAGTAGATAGATTACAACATATATGTCTCTCCTACCAGCAAATCTGTGTGATTTCTCCATTTTTTAAGTTCTTTTATGTTGATTTACTTTAAGAAAATCATATACAATGTGTTTCATATATATACATCGTACTGCATGCATTCCTCTATTCACATTGTACCATCCCATACATTGTGTTTTATCAAATTAATCACCATTGATCTATGCCCCTCATTACCCAACCTTCTCCTTACCCATCTCTTCATAAGTCCAACATAGATGTTCTTTTTCCCTTTGTTAAAATCATCATTAGCGTAAGTGATGCACGGGAGGCATAGAACAAAGTTAAGGAAAGGAAATGGAAGAGGAGCCTACCAGATAAGTTTATTTAAAAGTTACATAATTGTTTAGGCAGAACTTGATAAGGAACCCAGGAATAAAGAGCTGAGAATATCTTACATTTTTAAGTATTAGAAAAGAGCAGATACCTGAGAAAAAACAATATCCCCAAAATAGCAACTGTTCATAATTTTTAATTATGCATCATCATTGTTTTCCAAATATGTAACGTTTAATATCTGGCTATATATTGAGTGAAAATCAATCTTTCTCTCTCTCTCTCTCAGGAGTCTGTTTCCCTTCTATACAGGGAAAACATACAATTTAACAAATTCTGGTTAAGAGACCATAATGTCACTAATATAGAAAAAGATATTTTCTATCCATAGCCTTGAGAGAAGGGGAAGGAATTAACACATGTTGAACACTATCATACAGGCTCCAGTGTGAGCTGTTAACATCTGTATTTTCTATTCAAATTCTCACAAGTTCAGGAAGCAGTGGTGTTTCCATTTTACAAATAAAGACTTAAAGATTTGGAGAAGTACTAAGAACTAAGTCTATATTACTTGCTTAGGCCATCTTTCTCAAGGATCTGAATAAAACAATAGAGAAATATAAGGAGAGGATCAGAAGATAATGAAAGGAAAAAACTTAAAAAGAAAGGATATAGAAGATGAAATGATGTATGATGGTGAGAAAATTGAGGTCTCAAAGAACTGCATGGTTTTTGCAGAAATTCTGAATACACAAACCTGAAAATAAAGAGTATAAAGAGAGTATGATGAT